ACTCTGTCGTCTTCCTTATTCAGTTACCATGACTTCTAACACGTGAATGCTAGTTCAAAGTTTTGAAATGTACTTAGCTAGAACTACCCCTATGGTTGTGGAACTCAGTTGACAACAGATCATCTGTCATCCCTTCCAGTGGAGCTATTCATCATGGCTTCAACTCTCACCCGGGAAAGTGAACTTCAAGCTCTTCATCTACAGACTAAAACTCTTGACTGAGCTTAATCCCATTCATTAATTCATTTCAAGCTTATTTATGAAGCATCTTCTCGGTACTAGGGAGCACCCGTCGATGCTGGAGCTATGGTAAAACATGAGACCACACTGAGGAGCTCACAGACTGTGTAAGAGAACAGAGGAGGGCAGACCTGTGCCCATGATAGAGGATTATGATCATGTCACTTCTAAGGCAAAGGCGTAACCAGAGGATCCTGAAAGTATCAGGCTTAGGGCAGTGTTAGAAGGGTCTTCTTTTTGTAGGAGATGATCTCCAAGTGGTCATTTCCAATTAGTCAAAACTCAACATGTCAAATAAAGAATTCAAATAAAGAACATGTCAAATAAAAAACAATTTTTCTTGCTAAAATCCTCAATGCTCCCTAATTTTTTTGTTTCTGTAAATGGTACTATTTTTCCAGTGGTTCTGGCTTAAATCTGGTGTTTCTAGTTCCTTTCTTACATTTCAGGCCTGGAAGCTTTGTTTTCTGCTTTCATTCATCACACTGTCAGGCTCGTAGGATTGTCAAAGTTCAAAAAATGAGTCAACCAAACCCACTAAAACCATCTACTCATCCACACTCCATCGCCTTGCCTATGGACCACTGAATGAGTCTCCTAGCTGGACTCTCTTCCTCCTCACCCTCCCAGTCATGATCTGTCCTTGATGTTATTGAATTTATTTGCTACAAGTCTGTCTAGCTCAGTCATGTGGCTTTAAAATGAAGAGAGCAGCAGGAATAAATAGACCCTGAAGTTAGAATGCAGTAAACATAGGTGGGCATGAATGAATAAGGGATGGAGAACAGGAAATGCCAGCAATTGGCCAAGAAAGCCAGCAGAGAAACCATCAGGATGACAGGAGGGACAAGATGTCAAGGTATCGAGCAAGGTCATTGTATCCGTGTCCTGTGGCTGTTGGCAACAAATTACCACAAACTTGGTGGCTTACAGCATCAGAAATCTGTTCTCTCACAGTTCTGCAAGCTAGAAGCCCAAAATCATTACCACTGGGCTGAAATCAAGGTGTTGACAGGCCGCACTCACTCTCACTCTCTCTGGGAGGACAGGAACACAATCTGTTTGTAGCCTTTCCTGACTCCAGGAGGTAGCTGGTGCTCCTTGGCTGGCAGCTGCACCGCTCCTGTCTGCCTCCATGGTCACATGACCTTCTCCTTTTCTGTTCCTGTGCCCTCCCTACCTCTCTTATAAGCATGCCTGTGATTGCTTTTTGGATGCACTCAGACAATCCAGGATAATCTCTCCATATCGAGATAGTCAGATCTTAATTTAGCCACAACTGGAAAGCCCCTTTCTACCGAATAGAGTCACATTTACAGGGTCTGAAGATTCAGAAGTGGAACTGTTTGGTGGGAATGGGGGCAGCTTCTTTATCACCTCAGTAAGTTTTAGGTCACCATCCAGACCTACAAAGCTGAAGTCATGGTTGTCTTAGAACTTATAGCTAGGTTTTGGAGTCATGGAGGAAGAACAGGACATTTCTCTGCAAAGAACCAGAATGAACAAAGGCCCAGGGACAGCTATAAGGACACAGAGAGGGAAATAGGGAGGAGGCCACTGGACTAGAAATGTCCATGTGATATTTTGCTGTAGTGGGAGGGGGCTGGCTGCATCATTAAGGAGGGACTAAACTAGCAGGAAAGCTTAAGCAGTTGAGGACCGATTCTGATGGAGGGAGAAAGCTGCAGTCTCTTGTACAGAAAATGGCATCTTGGAAGCCATGTTGGAGGAGTACCAGTCTGCACTTGCCCTGTGACAGTCACTCTATTGCTATCTAAGAAACTGTGCCAAAGCTTAAACTCCAAATTCCATCTCTGGACACCATGTCAGATTTTCTTCTCAGCATGTCTAGCCTTAGGCAAAGCCCACCACGTTCTTTATGATTTGTTTTCTAGTACATGTGCTTCCAAAGACAGCATTATGATTTGTCTTCTAAATACCTCTTTAACATCACAACTTGTCTTATTTCTGATTTCTCATTATCCTTTCAATTCCTTAAAGATGTCCAACGCACACCTTCTTTGGGATTTTTAAGCATGTTCGTCTCTGCCCCTAAATGGGCCTCTGCACTAAATTGTGAGGCGGACCCTATCTTATCCCTCTAATCCCAAACTCAGTGTCATTTCTTTCAGAAGGTCTCCTTTGACTGACTACCTGGAAAGTCTGTTCAAAGTAGGTTTTCTAGGACTGCACCTGTTGGCTTTCTCATGACAGTTGACACAATTTGTAATATGTATTGTTTGCTATCTCTATCTTATCATCTGCACCAAGGAAAAAAGTTTTTTTGTTGTTTTTTTGCCTTCTTGCATTCAACAAGTATTTACCGAGGACTTACAGTGTGCCAGGCACTGTACCCAGTGCTGTGAAACAGCAATGAACTGCAAGATGCCCCCCCCCATTGTCACATGCAGGTGAATGCACAACACACCAAGGGGAGCTGAGCCCTAGCCAAGCAGGAGAAGGCAACAGAAAGGCATAGGGTACGGTGCTGCTTTTAAGAGTGATTAGCAAAGGTCTCCACAAGCAGGTAACATCTGAGCAGAGATGTGAAGGAATTCAGGAAGCAAAGCCATGCAGCTGCCACCCAGAGTGCTCTAAATAGAGGTGGCAGCAAGTTGAAGGGCTCTGAGTTGGGAGGAGCCTGCTGGCATAACTGAGGAGACGAAAGAGACCAGAGGGGTTAGATTGTAGACACGAAGGGTACCCATTTGTGTTTCCAGGATCATCTATTTAAGAAGAGATGACCTACAGCAAACAACAGCAGGAAGACAACTAGGGAGCTGTTGCAATGACCCCCCTATTTGTGATGAATAGAGATGAACATGGAGAAAAGGGGTCAGGATCAATGTATTTTGAAGTGGAGCTGATGGGGTTTTCCGGCAGGTGAGAAGTGGGATGTGAGAGAAAGAGGAGTCAGGGATGATTCCAAGATTTTTTTAAAAAAACCTAAACAACTAGAAGCATGGAGCTTCATTATACCAAGTTGGAGCAGATTGTGAAAGAGAAGCCAGAATTTAGTTTTGGGTCTGTTATGTGATGCCCACTAGACATTCAAGTGGGAATGTTGAAGGGGGAGCTGGAGTTGAGTTTGGGGGTCCAAGAAAGAGGTTGGGACTAGGCATCAGGTCATGTAGAAGATGAAGTGGTGCCTGTGCACAGACAGCATTTATAGACATCAAAATAAAATGATAACTTGTAGAGTTTATGACAATAAAAAATACTAAGGTCTGAAGCCTGGGTGCACTCTGATATTCAAAGATGGGAGCAACCGGGAAGCAGCCGGAGGCGGTGGATGGTGGGAGGAGGACGGAGGTGGAGGGAGGCCTGAGGCCCAGTGGAGCAGGTTTTTCCAGGAGGGAGGAGTCAGGGCCCCTCCAACTGCCAACAGGCAGAGCCTGCCCCTGTGTTGTTAGCTCTTCCCTTCCAAGGTGGGCATGCAGTGGATACTACCTGAATATTTGGTGAAGTTCATGTGTTTAATAATCTAGGAAATGGGTAACATTTTAGTGTTTTAGGTGGAGCTAGACCAGGTTTATTTTATTCTTTTCCTAGTTAAAAAACTTTTTTTCGTGTATATTGCAGATTTAATGATTACATTCATTGTGGCGAGTTGGTATATGTGCATATTACATCTTAGTTCTGTTTACTTCCGCTCCTCATTCCTCCTCCCTCCATCTCTGGAATAGAGCGGGTTTACTGGTCCGGGTGAGAATTCTTGATCTCATTTAGACAGAAAAAAAAAAAAAAGAAAGAAAGAAAGAAAAAGGAAAAAACAAAACAAAACTACCACAAGGTGCTATCATTGCAACCCTGTCCCTCTAAAGTACCAGGTGGTGAAAACAAGGAGAGTTACAGGTTTGTGTGGCTCAACACCCAGTCAGGGCTATGGGAGGGGAGGCCTAGGAGACACTCTCAGACTATGGGTCCTGTAGTCTGATTAAGAGATAGCACTTTTCCCAACAGGTCTCAGCAGTGGAAAGAAAGGCATTGTCCAGTTTTCTTTGTCTACTTGAGCCAGCACCCTCCCTGTGAAATGAGCTGACTCTGTGATTGGCCAAAAGTCAATCACCTACCAGGTGAGTAAGACACAATGGCAGTGGCCAGACCTTCGATAGCTAGGGCGCCACAGGCAAAACTAACTCCCCCATTTGCCTAAAACACTGCCATCTAATGGAAATATCCAGTGAGCCACATGCAGAATTTAAAATTTTTTAGTACTCACAGTTTTAAAAAGTAAAACAACAACAACAACAAAAAATCCAATGGAATTCGTTTTCACCACTGTATTTTATTTAGTCCGCCATATATGGTCACATCAACATGTAATTAATGCACACAATTATTAAAGAGACATCTTGTGTTCTTTTCCTATTTGTAATAAGTCTTGGAAAATGGGTGTTCCCTTTACACTTCAGTGCTCAGGAGCCACGTGGGTCTGAGGTGGCGCCGTACTGGACAGCGCAAGCCCACGGCACACAGGGGATTGGAGGTCACATTGCTGCCTAGATTCTGAGCCACCTCGGCCAGCTTTATATCCGAGGCTTACCAGGGAATGGAGACACTAGCAGAGACTGGCTCCAAGGAGAGGAAACTACAGCGTCCCTCTACCTGCCTTTCTAAGTCATCTTCCCTAAGACCAGACGCGTGTCTTGCGGTGTGCACACAGGACGCCGTGCCACAAACAGAACTGAATGTATAAACCAAATCCATGAACCCTGACACCTCAGGAAGGGGAGAACCAAAGAAATGTGAGTCCCTACCTTTTCCCAATTGCTTCCCAAGTCTCCGTGATCCTCCAGCTGCTTCCTCTGCTCTTCTTGCACTGGTTGCTTTGTGCGTGTCTGGGGAAGGTAACTGTTCTCCGTAGACTGCAGGCATCTCTCTAGCTCAAAGCCTGGAGGAACTATGGGTGATCTATGTGTCCCACATCTACCGCATTTAATTTTGAACAATTACGCCTGAAAGCAAGAATACAGAGGTCTCTCAGTGTCCATGGAAGGTTGGTTTCAGGACCTCCTACAGAAATCAAAATCTGAGGATGCGCAAGTTTGCTTATCACCTAGGCATATCTTCCCCTATACTTTAAATCACTTCTAGATTACTTACACTACCTAATGCAAAGTAAATGTTATGTACGTAGTATACTGTATTGTTTACAGAATAATGACAAAGAAAAAGTTTGTACATGTTCAATATAGATGCAAATTTAAAAATATATTTTTGATTAGCTGCGGCTTGAATCTATGCATTCAGAATCCACAGATATTTAATGGTGTAACTTAGGATAGCATCACCCCTGAAGTACAGACCGGAGCATTTTTGGGGTGACACGGCCCTCTGGGTCTCAGTGTCATGGGTTGTGAGTTCCCCGATCCCATGTCTCTTTTCTTTCTGCAAAGCTTGTTGGGACCTTGTCTGTTGTCTTAGTTCTCTTTGAGCTGGAAATGGAGACCAGTAAGTCACTTCGTAGCTGGTCTTTCTCTGAACTTGGCCTTCAGAAATAAACTCTTTCTTTCCCACAGGACCAAGCCTGCTCTTAAACCTTGACTATTTCAGCAACGTCTGGCTTCAAACCCAAGGCTCGGCGTCATCCAGTTCTTAGGATAATCACAGCCAGCCTTGCTGTGCATGACATGCTCCTGCCTCCCTGTGATGTGCGGTTTGGACTGAGTCTTAATGACAGTAATGACTCTGTTCATGGAGCCTCTATGAGGGGCCAGGCACCGAGCTTGGTGCTTCATTCACATTACATCATTTACCTGTCACAACAACCTTGCCAAACACATGTTGTTATTCCATCTTGAAGATGAGGCAACCCCATCTCAGAGATGTTAATGAACTCATTCAGATGAAATCCCCAATTAGTCCAAGACCAGGGTGTAGATCAAATTCTCGCTTCTCCTGGTGAATCTCAGGATCATCTAAGGTAGACCAAGAAGCTCCCTTTTCCCTTCTCGCTCGTGTGTACTCTGTGCACACCACCATGCTTCTGCCCTGGATCCTGACTTTTATTCTGGGCACTCAGGCTCTGCTCTGACCCCGTTTACTTTGCTGAGACCCTCACATCCTATCTGGGGCCTTACTTATTTCTTTTCCCCAAGGGTTCAGCCTCAACCCTCCAGCTGCTGGAGGAAGTCTTAGGTTCAGATGGTCAAACTAGTAACCATGAACCCCAATCCTGTGTAACTAAAGGCATGGCCTGGAGATGGGTGTGTGTTATGGCCATGCACGTTGTCACCTCACCTCTTCTTTAAATGGCTCTAGTGGGGTTGGGGATTTATCTCGGTGGTGCCACCACCTGCCTCGAAGGTGCAAGATCCTGAGTTTGATCCCCAGTGACAAAAATAAAATAATAGGCTCAAGTGTTTCTATACTGACATATATCGGTACTACAATACTACATATAAGGCCAACATATGTGTATGGGCTCTCGTGGAAGCTTACGGTTGGCTATGAAATTGCTCTGGAGGTCTCCTGTGTGCTGTGATTATTAGCACTTTCCCCCTAGTTTTATGATCTCCCATTGGGGTTTTAAACTCAAAACTACTCTCAAACTCTTGTTTTATGGACCAGTTTTTGTTTTGCTATCAAAGACTGACATGGCTCCTGGTCTCAGCCTCCGTCCTTGCTCCCGGGAACTGTCACTTGGGTAAGACATACTGTGCCCAGTGACCTTCCACAGCCCCTAGCATTTGCCTTAGACATTTCTCCTCACTTCTGCCTGGCACAATAGACAGGGATTGGGTGCCTGCTGGCAGCTTTGGGCACTGGCATCAGCCCACGTCTGACCCCAGTTTGTGGCTTGGACAGCTGGCTCCTCTCCTTGGGGCTGGGCCAGAAAACAAATTAATCCTTCTTGCTTGGCCACTGCCAATTTTTTGCTCATTCTTTCAGTGCTCAGCCACCATGGAGATCCCTGCCTGCCCTGTAGCCACATCAGCCCAACTTACAGCAGCCACATTCACTAACTGCCTTAGCCACTGTGCCCTCTTCATGCCTTGGTGGTTCCTTTCTCTAGGTCTGGAAGCCACATGAAGTTCCCAGGACTCAACGCCTTCTCTCACCTGTCACACTGCCCATGCTGCTGTGGGTTCACCTATGTGTGAACCTCATAGACGCCAACTGTCTGATGAGATTGCTTCCAACTGTCTCTCTTCATGGAGGCTGTCAGTAGGCCAGGCACCCAACCAGGCCTGGCTCTGCCCCTGATGCTGCACTTTGGAACTCCACTGCCCCAACCACATGCCCCACGGAATGGTCTGCTCGGGTGTGGCTGTTCTTTATTGTCTTTCTGTCATTGCCTTTGATGCTCAAAGTCTAATCTCCTCTGATAGGAATGAATGACCTCCAGTCAGAAGTTCAGGAATCATGGGATCTACCTGCAGCTTTTCTTGGAAGCCTTACAATTGACAGCCCTTTTCTCACCGTACACTGGTTTGTACTGATTTCTAGGAACTATTTTTTTGTAAGTCATCCCCTCAACTAGTTTTGGGCTTCCTTAGCATAACCACTCTGCCCTGTCTTAAGCTAATTTAATATAGACTGGGTCCTTATGCCCTCTGCTATATCCCAGGTGGGGCAAGAGGGCAGAATGCAGAACATGCACAGTACCATGAATCAAAGAGGCTTTAGGTAGAGGTAGACCTTATGTTTGATCATCCAAAGTGGGAGTGAAAGGGGTCCTAAAAATAATTATGCTGTTTGATCTTCAGCAAGTATAGACTGGGACTCTCACAGGAAACTGGAAACTATGGTTGTGTGTATTATATAAGATCCTCACAGGCCCAGCACCTTCCGTGGGCTTACATACAAGGTCTGGCTGGTAGTGGTACCATCCCTGGGACCACCATCTCTCAACTCCCAGTTTTTGCTGTTTCTGTTGTCTTTTTGTTTGGATTTGTGCCTGTGAAGATTTTGTAATCAAGTTAGCCAATCTATATGAACGAGGGGGGAAAAGCAGGACAATGCCTGACTGTCAAGTAAATGATACAGATGAATAGTTTTCAAACTGTGCTCTGTGGTACCCCACGTGCCTCAGCCCATCAATAGAGGGATCCCAGGCTGCTGTGGCTTGCATCTACCAGAACTTGCTTGGCATATCTGGTCTCCATATTGGTTTCTGCAGAATTCTTGTTCTCATTGAAGAGTTTCATAGCTTTAACAAAAGGAAATCTGAATAGAATGCAGGGTCAGAGGAGGGAGAGATTCTTCTTGTGTCATTGGCTTTCAGAAGCCTTGGTACTTAACTTGGATCTTAAAGATGTGTGGAACATAGATGCTTTTAATGTATCTCCAACTGCATGGAGCTCCATCATACGATCAAAACTGTTGCCCAGTAGATGGTGACATTTTGTTTTTTGCCTTACCACACACAGCACATTGTGTGTGTGTGTGTGTGTGTGTTTGTGAGTGTGTGTGTATGTGTGTGTGCTATTATAATAGCTAGCCATGTTTACTTATCTGATTCCCACTTTTTGGTTCTTTCCACATCCTTCCTTTTCCTACTGTACTCGCATTGCCATTCCCAGTGGCAAGAGTACAAGGGTCTTCCATTAGCAGAACCGCCCCTTTCCCCCAGCACAGACTTCTACTGATTTGTCTCCTAGTGATGGTGACGGCGTGCAACAGAACTGCTTGTCCACAGGTGGGCCACATGATGGGGTGGGCTTTGAGGTGGTTAGTGGTTTAACCACAGCTGCTTCTTCCCGATAGAACACCATGACCTTGGCCCCATTCACACAGGAAATTGCGGTGCTAATGAGCTCCATCCATGCTGTGACCAGTACCCATCAGTGAATCTGCAGGGCTCTCTACACCTATAGGAGAGTGAGCCCCAAGGAACAACGTAGTCTCACAGAGTCCGGAAAGTGCTAACTCCAGCTGCCTTGTTGATTTTAAAGAAATACAGATGGGCACAGGTTTTTCCTGTTCATTTATAGACTATACCAGACATAAACAGGGATGGAAAGGAAACTGTGTTTGGGTTACACTAAGCCTTGTGACTCAGTCATCTTACTGTATAGTGGTGTCAAAGGATGTGTAATGCCTCTAGTTCTAGTTCAAGTTCAAGTTTTAGTGAGTTTTTTTTGGGGGGGGTTGTTGTTGGGTTTTCTTTTTTTGCCTGAAGTCTCAAATTTGACTGTTTGCAAAAATAGGTGAATTCAATTCCATCACTTCTACAAAGAATTTCTATTTTGAGAAACGTAACCAGCTCAGCTTTATACTCTTCCAAGATGCACCACTACCTTCTGTGACCCTAAAGGAAATGGAATGAACTCTCCTAACCTCCTATCTGTAAGATGGAAAATCAATTCTCTCATTTCTTATGTTAGCATAAAGCTCTACCACATGCAGGCTATGTCTACTCATTCAGATTAGAAACAAAGAACCTGGTGGCTGGTTACATTATGCTTGGTGTGTACCGATTACAGGAAATGAACAGAGCAGAACAGAGTTCATCAGGGATAAATTGTCTGTAATGCTTTCATACACACCAGAGAAATTAATAGTCTTATTCATTTGTCCAAAATCTTTTCATCGACAAATAAAAACTGTATGTGGGGGCCGGGGATTTAGCTCAGCGGTTCGGTGGCCTGCTTTGAAAGTGCAAGGACCCGAGTTCAATCCCCAGTACAAAAAAAAAAAAAAATTGTATGTGATTATAGGGTACAACACCACACACATATATAAATGTACCATCAAGTACTTGTTATTCATTGAGTGTAATAAGCACGTTACATACATTATCTCCTCTCAGGATGCTAGAGAATGGGTGTTATCAGCACTGTTTTATAAGCGAGGTGATAGGCCCAGGAAACTGAGGGACTTTTCCAAGGCATCAGTGCTGAGCTCTGAATCCACGCATTTCAGAAGCCCATGCTGTCCATCAACATGCTCTTCCCTTCTATCAACGGCCTAACCAAATATTGACCCTTCAAGGTCTGTATTTAGTTTCCAACAAGGCATTTTTGATCAAGGAGATAGTGCCTAGAAGACGTTGCATCCTAGAAGGCAACAGATGTGAGTAAACACTTACCTGTTGGTGAGCTGAACTATATTGAAGAACAAGCAGTGTGATCAAGAAAGAGCTCGGTACTGAGCACATGCCGCAGGAAGCGTCCTGAACTTGTTACTTAATGTTTGTCAAAAGCATGTTTTGAAACCAAAGATTCAACTTTTCCTTCTTCTAACCATCATGAGGTACTGCAAAGGTATTTTCTTGTAACACCTAAGGGAAGTTATTGCCCTGGGAAATTAATAGTTATTTAACACTGATGGGGAAAAAGATAAATATGTCAAATTTAGACTACATCAAAGATGGGCAGATGCATCCCTCCTGGAACTCAGTGGTGGAGAACAAAAAAATCTCTACACTGAGTACCCAGACACATTTGCATTTTGATATTTGCAGTATTTCACGCTCCATTTAACAACTGGACTGCATTACAATCTATGTTCCAGACTCGCATCTTTTAGCTGGTCAAATAAATGCATTCATGAACTTCAGGAACACAAACAGGAAATTGATTTATATTGAGAGGCAACTAAGGATTAGAAAAAAATTCAGGAATCAAGAAGAGAATTGACATGTGGGAAGAAAACAAGAATAGGATTACAAGGAAGACTGAAAAACAATGTGTAGAATAAAGGTTAATAAGTAACTTGGTATGTGTTAGCACCTAAAAATATGAGTTAGAGAAGTTCTTGACTGACTGATAATTAAGGGAATAGGTTTGCCTCCTAGCTTTATCTCTGATGTTTGTGACTTTGAGACATGCAATTACTCTGGGCCTCGATGTCTTTATCTGTAAAATGGAGTCCTTGAACCACCTGTTCAACTGTTTGTCATTATCAAGATCACCACAATAAAGATTACAAAATGTTATGGAGAAATGCACTTCATACATATGAGATACAGCTCTTATTGTAAGCTACACTATTTTCACTTTCAGTTTCTTCTAACTAGAGAGTGCTAAAGCAATATTGTAGGACAAATCTGCAGGTACTCATCAAAGTTCCCTGTTTTGGATGAATTCTTTCCTTGTCTTTTATAACTTCTTATCTGGAATACATAAGAAATCACAAGTTTATTAGTTACTCCAAGGTTTATATATGAATATTGAACTGCAACACTTATCTAAATTTAGGGTCTTAAATTTAGGATTTATTTCAAAGCATATGGGTTATGGCAATAGGAAGGAAGTTGGATATATTATGTGTAGGCACAATTTTTATGATTAAATTTAGTCCTTGTTATTTACAATGTAAATATAATAAGGGCACTGAGGAAGAAGAAGGTTGAGAATATTAACTCATTAGTGTAGGAAAACAAGGAGGATTGCTAGATGATTGTTATGCTAACTTAGCACAAGAAGTTTACAATATAGGAAGATTCAGACCACTCCAAGTTCTTCGGGGACTCACAAAAGACTGTTCGAAAACAATAGCAGTCTGCAAATGAGAGGTTTTTTTTTCCCCGTGGATGCTATACAGTGTTTTGTTATTGACTTACTATTCCAAGGACACAACGTTCCCCAGATGGACTGGTGGAATACTGTGAGGTGGAAATTTCCCAGTGCAGTGTTACTGTTTAGACAGTGTCTGCAGCCTCTTGAAATGCTCTAGGCTGAGGCATGTGACTCAGGGCTGGCCCTTCACCCCACTGAAGTCTCTTTGCCAGTGATTTCTTTATAGGGTACTTAGTCACTTGGGTTTCTCCAATCAGAATGAAGCCAGGACTTAAGTAGGAAGTGGCAGGAAGATATTTTTCTCCAGAGATTGCTATCAGAAAGCATGAAATGAGCCTGGAATTGCCAGACACCACTGTGTAGCACCTCAAACAAAACCCACATTGTAAGAGGCAGAACTAAGGTGAAGAAAAATGGAATTTTGAAGGTGGTGTTAGAGCCACTAGATCCAGGCTAGATCAATCCGGCACTAGCCCTGAACTTTTTTGGGCCAAGGGATTTCCTTTTCCACCTCCTGGGCTTAGGCCAATTTGAATTCATTTTCATATTTTGCCACCAACACTGAGTTTTGATATAATGTAGAGACACAGACAGAACTCTTGGTACTGAGGCAGCAGACCTGTAAACTACAGGTGGTCCTGCAGTGTGGTTGAGTGTGAATGTAGAGATGAGCTCCGGGTGCGATGGGGTAGAAGAGTCAGGCTGGCTCAGTCTGAGGGAGTAGCTTTCTCAGC